CTCGTTGGCGCAAGAACACGACGGGATCTATCACCCGGTGGCGTTCGCCAGTCGTACCTTGAAGACGAACGGATTGAATTACAATGTGACCGAGAAGGAGGTGTTGGCATTGCTAATGGTCCGCCCTCCTGGCCCCGTGGACGCTCGAGATCACGAAGTGCACGAAGGGCGAGGACGAAATACTGGGGGCAATCGCTGCCAGCACCACAGCGAGGGCGAAGATGGACGATCCTCTGACCGAAATCGCTCCCCGGAAGGAACCTAAACGCTGGATTCAAGCACCGATAGGAAGCGTAGATCCGGAAGAGGAATTATGGGTGATCAGCTTTGATGGATCGGCTCGAGTGAAGCGTGGCGGAGGCGCGTTCAGTGCGATCGTGTGAAGTGTTCCAGGATGGGAGGTGTTCAAACCCAGATCGGGCTATCTCGAGAGCCTCACCATCAACGAAGCAGAATATAACGGCCTGATCCTGGGACTCGACATGCTAGAGGACCTAGATCACAAACGCCTAGTGGTCTGCGGTGATTCTAACTTGGTGATCCGACAAGTACGGGGCGAGATCGATTGCAAAGCACCCGGACTGACGATATTGAAGCGGAAGGCCCTCATTCGCCTTAGGAAATGGAGAGATGATGAACTAGTGCATGTCAAGAGAGACGGGAACGGAAGTGCCGACAGTCTAGCGAGTGCCGCTTTACAACGACAAGGCGGGATCGAGGTCCAGAAGATGCCCGGGTACCAGGATCTGGTCACTCTGAACCGGTTAGATGAAATCTTGATCCCTAAGACCGAGAACCCAGTGGCACGAGTTATCGCGGTGACCACTCGAGCTGGTCGAGCTGGTCGAGCAAGACCACCGGCGAGTGTCATGGAAGAGGGTTTGATCCGCGAAATCCTAGTCAATCGGATCAAGCAGGCCCAAGAGGAGGAAGTCTGGATCGCCGGCATGAAGAAGTATCTGAGTGGCTCGATCGCGGATTTCACCCAAGCGGAAGCAAGATCTTATGGCAAGATCGCGGCTGACTACGAGGTGGACGAGCAGGATCTACTCTTTTACTGCCCCTCGACGCCGAGATCGGGAGACGATCGCGACCGATTGATGAGATTGGTAGTTCCCGAAACGCTACAGTCGGACGTTCTACACCACTATCACACCACGTTGGAAGGAGGACATCAGGGAGTGGGGCGAACCTACCAGCGGATCAGGGAT